CATGCATGTGCTATTCTATATGATTAACACGTTGAATGCCGCGGGGATCACCGGTGACCACCGTGACAATGAACGTGTTAAACATGATTACACACCGTAATATATTTGTTGTAGGTAATATTTCAAGATTATATGTATCGTATAATAAAAAATTTATCGTGGCGCCACAGGCAAACCCTGTAAAACTAGCATGGCATTCAACGTGTTAATGTACACTTCTATGAACAATTGTCACGTTTATATTTATATTCCTGTACATATTGCTGTCCATAGTTATCGTCAGCTTCACCGATGAAATATCCAGGAGAGCGACTTTCCACGGCAACGACATACTACACAACAGGGTGAAGCAAAGCACTCGCCGACGATCCGCCGCATCTTCTTCAGTAATATATTCTTTTGCGGAATTTTTATAATCTTTTATGTATAGAGAAAATATGTTTCTTAGCGGAGATCAATTAAAAGCTTTAATTGCTTGAAAGTAGCTTCTTGTCATCTGTAAAAGTTCGACAAATCAAGCTGTCAAGTATGTTGTGGCGTGCAGACAATGACGTAAATACAATATTAAGTGTATGAAATGTAATCATATGTGTTTGTTCCAAAAAAGACAAAGATAGTTTTGGGAATAAATGTTTTTGTAAGACGATTAACCCATTTGCATCACAAAGAAAAGTCAAAAATTTTTTCTTATCACCAAAATTTTAACAACACAGATAGCGGATAAGACAAGGGGGGGAGAGAGAGAGAGAGAGAGGGAAAGAGAGAGAGCTGTCTAAGAGCGTAGAAGGGAAATAAAGTGCGTGAGGGGCCCCACCGCTGGACAAGCCTGGTATAAATAATATGCGCTTTGGTGATAAATGCCTAAGTAAAATGCGCTCATGTATGCGCTCTGGTGATAGTGGCCAGGCAAAATGCGCTTATGATGCAAATGGGTTAAGAATAAAAATTCAAAATTAGAGATTTTGTTGAGCTGGTGGAACCTTGAACCAGATGTTTTGCTATAAAAAAACACTTAAAGTTAATTACTCCAAATATTTCAGTTTTTATTTTTGACCCATTTTTAGTGAACCTATTGTTCAAACATTCCTTCACAAGTAACGTATAGTCAAATTGTGTAATGCTGCATAGTTTTATTTAAAAAACACAGTAAATTTAAATTCTTAAAGTAGCAGCATTATTTTATTTTCCGGTACAAGTTAGGCTTTGCGTACAATAGATAAAATATTAAAAATAGGAATAAATATTAAAAAGTAGAAAGAAGAAATTCTTCCTTTACATGACAAGAAAATAGAATAATGAAATTAATACATCATAAATTAAAAAATAAGAATTTAGAATAACTAATCTATCGTTATCGCTATTTTCTCGCATTGTGCAAGAGCTTGACAATGTGTCTGTATCTTTTTGCTAGAAAGCAACCGAAAGTATAAGACCGATTTTGATTGTCGACAACGACTTGATGAACTTCTTTTTTTTCAAAACGGCAGTTTGTCGACTCGACAAGTTTCACCGATTTATTCTGAAAATGTATATAACAGGCAAGATAAATATAGTTCGCAAGATCAAGAGGCACGGTAGTGTTTCGCGCCAAGTTCATACGCAATGAAAAAACGTTCCAACTGCGCGAGCACACTGTGCCTCTTATACGCGAAATTCATGCATTGAGAAGTGGAAAGATTCTCTCAGGACAATTTTTTAAGTATCAACTGAACCGATCACTTTCGTTTTAGTCTTAATCGATTCAGAAGAAAACATTTGAAAAAAAAATATTATTGCGTTTTTTTGTCTGTGGCTTCTGAATGGAGATAATGAATGATAAACACAAATTTGTATAATATTTACATTCAGAAACGTTATTGTAGTCGTCCTAGACCAAATTGTGTGCATATTCGTATGCCTGCTACGAAATAGCATACATATATGAGCTCGTTGACAGAATAAAAAAATAGAAAGACAGAAAGTGTGAGTTAGAGAGAGAAAGAGAGAATCACGAGGCACGGTAGTAGTTCGCGTTATTCGCGCCGGCAATACCTATAATAGTACCGATCGCTTCGACAATGTTCTTCGCGGCGTAGTGATTTCGCCGGCAACACCTCCAATATATACATATGTATATATGTATATAGAAAAGTTTATTTCGGTATAACATCCTGCTAAAACGGCTCTTATGACCTTATTCATATTTTCTTACTTTAAACTTCAGAGCCTTAATTGTTGAATCACGCTGGTCTCAATATGCGTTATTCATTTATCAAGACCATCTTTGATATATGTACGAATATTGCGAGGAAGACTCTAAGTGCTTCGGTGGCCTAACAGGGAAAGCGATGGCCCGAAAAGCCGGAGATTCTAGGTTCCTGGCTGAGGAGTTTTTTTCGCAATGATTTAAAATTAGTTCGGGGGGTATACGAGGTCTTTCATACATGAGATGCAAGTATAGCATCCTATATAATTTAAAGAATTGAAAATTTCAATTAAAAAATTCACGTGTAAAAATTTACATGTGAACACATATATAAATACATGCGCACATATATAAATATGTACGCATGTATATATAAAAATATACATATGTATGTATATATACATGTATGCATGTATACAGGGTGTTTCAGAACTATGGGATCAAACTTCTAGGGGTTATTCAGTGCAACAGTAGAAAACATTTGAGTATAGGGACCCATGTCCGGAAAAGTGTCACTACCGCACTACGGCCCTAAGCGCGT